TTTTTTTTTTTTTTTTTTTTAATATTTATTTATTTAGGCTGTGCCAGGTCTTAGCTGCAGCATGAGGGATCTTCGTTGCCGAGTGCAGGATTTTAGTTGCAGCATTTGGACTTCTTAGTTGCGGCATGTAGTTGCATGTATGCAGGATCAAGTGCCCTGACCAGGGATCAAACCCAGGCCCCCTGCATTGGGAGAGCGGAGTCTTACCCACTGGACCACCAGGGAAGTCCCTGACTGGCTGTTCTTTATGACAAATGACCTTGCTTCTGAGTGTGACGTGCCAACACCTGGCTTCTATCATTTCAGGAACCTATCTTTCTCAGTGCTGTCAGAGGATCCAGTTTTTAACAGCACTTCCAATCTTCAGCCCATGCCTGCAACTGCAGCCACCACTTAGCTTCTCCATGATTCTGGTGCCTCACTCAACAAAGCATTCCTGTTACTTTGGTAAACAAAAGGTGCTCTGTATCTTCCCATGGACCACTTCTCTGAACTAGCTGATCCCTTCTTCAACTATCTACCATGGCAGTTCTGTCATTTCTGCTTCTCTTAGTGTGGGCATCACTTTCCTCAAGCTTCCTAAAAGCCATCCTGGTGGTATTTTTTGTACCATCTCCTGATATCCTTACCCGGGTATAAAATCCTGTATCCTCAGAAAGTCCCCCCATATTGATAGACTCTCCCTTATTCGACCTATGTTCTAGATCCCTTGATTCAGCACCTCAGAATTTATCTCATGTGCACTCTCCTGGCTTCTGCTGGTTTAAGATCCTACAGCTTCTTCTGGGTATAATCTTTTTCTTCCATTACCAGGCCCAGCACTTCCCCAGTCAGACTGTTATGTGACTTAACCCTAGTTATTGGGCAGGAGAGAAATAAGGGACATAGGCTGAGAGGACCACGTGCTGTCTCATAAGGTAGAAGCCTCTGTCTCCTCTTTAAGCAAGGGAGAAATGATAGCATTTAACAGAGATGAGATGGAAATTTTCAGGCCCTGAGAATTCAGGGGCATCTAGAAATTGAAAATTTTTTGAGGGCATCAATTGTGATATCCCCATCCCAATGTCTCAGGGTCCCAGTCCTTCCCAAGCAGTGCTTTGACCTTGGCATACCAGACCTGCAATGGCTGAGAGTTCAACCATCTGTGGAGCTATTCAACCTTCCTCTTATGACAAAGCTAATATTCAGATTTTCCTGCCCTTGGGCTGAAAATTTTTATATCTTGCCAAGAGGCCTTCTGACTTCATACTTGGCATTTAATTGCTTATTAATCATTCTTAACATGTAATTATCTCTCTCCAAAACATCTTTGCTCCTTATCAAAAGCCATCCAATTCCACTGCACTTGTAAATACTATTTCCACTTCTTGATGCCTGGTACAGTACAGATGTTGTGACTTGGATGAACCTTGAAAACATTATGCTAAGTGAAAAAAGCCAGTCACAAAAGTCCACATATTATGTGATTACATTCATATGAAAGTTCAGAATAAGAAAATCTATGGAGACAGAAAGTAGAATAATGGTTAACTAGAAAAGATATACGTACCTTTATGTTCATTGCAGCATTATTTAAAATAACCAAGATATGGAAGCAACCTAAGTGTCCATTGATAGATGAATGAATAAAGAAGATGGGGAAGGTACAAGCGCTATAGGAACAGAGATTCCTTGGGGGCGATTTACTGATTAGAATAGAAAACACAACTTGAAGGCCACAACCTTTAGGACTAGTGGAAGTTCTCCAGGCAGAAGAGATAGGAAGGCTTTCCAACAGCATGATAAAAAGCACATATCAGGGCTTCCCTGGTGGCGCAGTGGTTGAGAGCCTGCCTGCCGATGCAGGGGACACGGGTTCGTGCCCCGGTCCGGGAAGATCCCACATGCCGCGGAGCGGCTGGGCCCGTGAGCCATGGCCGCTGAGCCTGCGCGTCCGGAGCCTGTGCTCCGCAACGGGAGAGGCCACAGCAGCGAGAGGCCCGCGTACCGCAAAATAAAAAAGCACATATCAAAATTATCAGAGAGCATAGTTAGGGAATTAAAAGCTGTCTGGTATTCCTGAAGAAGGATGTATTAAGCTGGAAGGGCCAAAATTGGAGCTAGAGGGGCAGAAAGGGAAAGTCTCCTGTGCCACAAAAATGAAGTAGAACTTTATACCTAGGAGTCCCTAAAGGATTTTAAGTGAGGGAGAGACATAGTCAGATTAGGATTTTAAATAGCTCTTTCTGGAAGCACATCACCTGAAACAATTAGACACTCAGATGGGTTAGTTGAATGAACAGGGACAACCATGTGTATAGAGAATATACAATATGTAATAATACACTTAGTGGTGGAGGAATGTTTCGAGATGGGGGAGCAGGATTTTTCCAACAGTCTGGATGATGTGATACAAATTTGAGTCAGGGCT